GTGGAGGGACAGCGCAGGAGGGGAAGACCCTCTATGAGGTGGATTGATTCAGTGACTGGGGTAATCAGGACGGGTGTGTCAGAGGCAATGAGATTGGCACGGGATAGAGCACGGTTTAGGGCTGTTGTACATAGGGTCGCTATGAGTCGCAAAAGACTCGACGGCACATAACAACAACAACAACAAATGGGATATTCAGTGCTCTTCTCCAACACCAAAGCTCACAGGCATTAATTCTTTTTCTGTCATCCTTATTCATTGTACACCTCTCAGATGCATAGCGAGTAATTGGAAAGATTGTGGCCTCAATCAGATGCACCTTAAACTGACATCATTACTCTTCAATAATACTTTATTTTAATTTCAATCTTTATTCAGAGACAAATTCCATGATGGCATTTGTGTTGTCCTTTTTGCAAACCAGTTGTGTACTTCTGGATTAATGTAATTAGTATTGTAAATTGCATCTTGGTGATTTTTTTTTGTGAAATGGTGATTTTTGCCTCTTTTTTGTCTTTAGAGAAGGACATCTCTTATGTTTGAAAAAGATTTTGCCACCAAGCTGAAGGAGAAGCAGCTCTTCAAACAATTTCCAACCATAAACCAAAATTTTCTGGCAGATATTTTCCAGGACCACAAGTGAGTGCTAAAAGAACTGTCTCTGGTTTCTGCTGTCTTGTCACTTAAACTATATGTTGCACACTTTACCTCTTCATTCATAAAATAATAAAAGTAGTGTATCTGCAAGACCCCTTGCTATAGGAGTTAGTAGAACTTCCTTGTAGGGTTTCTGAAGTAGCAGACTGCTCTGTCTTTTTCCTGTTAAATGGCTGTTGGGTTAGAACTACTGAACTTTTGGTTAGCTGAGCTGTGAACCACTGTGCCACCAGGGTCTCTGATAGATACATAGTAAACAGTTCAGATACAGTGAATGGAAGGCAGAAAGTGAGAAATTATAACAAATGAACTGTATTCCTCCTTACAATGTTTTTCATATACATACTGAAGTGTGTGTATACATGTTTGTCTATATGATTTTTTTTTTGAGAAGGGCTCTGCTAGGTAGCAATTTTAATATTCTGTAAAAATAATTCCAAAGGCAATTATGTATGACCTTTAAAACGGATGTGAGATATTTGTTGGCTAAAGCTAATTTTTATATATTTTTTTAAAATTCTTATACATTGTGTTTTATTCATGTACATTGTATTTTATACAACTGTTTACTGTTGATCAGTGCCTTTAATTATCCTGTCTCATCAAGTTCTCATTGGAGTTGGCCTATTTCTTCACAGTCATCACATTCATTCTATCCACTAATCTCTAATGCCCTAGAGGTTTTTATGTGTACATGTAGATATATATTCTACTAAAAAAGAGGTTATATATTCTCTTCTGTTTTGTTACTTGGCTAGAATTTCTTTATTCTGTTTACATATAGTTAACTGTTTTCATTAAAATGTATTTGTCTAGACATTTTTTTTTTTTGGGTCTAGAGTCTTTGATAGGATTTACCCCAGAAGGTTTAGATAGGATTTCCACAGTTTACTTAAACATGTCCATTTTTAAGACTTTTTGACTATAAGAGAACCCGGGCACCAGCTTGCTTAGAGCATTCCTGAACATTTTGTGTACACGGGTGAATACTATTGTAGAATAGTTCTGGAAGTGAAAATGTTTTTATAGTGAATTTCAAATTAGGGAAGCTGGTGTCTTGGGGTAAGAAGTTGCATTTCCAACCCAAAGGGTACATGGTTTAAACCTACCAGCTGCTCTGTGGGAGAAAGATGGGCAGTCTTCTTTTGTGCAGTTTATATATAGCCTCTGAAAACCTACTGGAGGGTCAGTTGTGATTCAGTTCTGGCTTGATGGCACCCAACAACAACACCTTTAATTTAAGTTAAAGATATAAATTTAATTAATATTAGTAGTTTGTATGTACTGGCCCGTCAGTTCTGCCAAAGACCAGTAAGACTACAGCCTGGAAAACTGTATGAGACAGGTCCACTCTGTGAATGGAAGAACAGCTTGACAGTCTCTGCCCAAACCAACGGCATAAGTTAAGGAGTCCCTCGTCATGCAAATGATTTGCATCTGCAGAGGCACCTTGGAAGAAAGGCCTGTGCTTACAGAGAATCACAGCCTTCATTCACCTTGATGACAGTACCTTTGGCTTTTGATTATAAACAGTTACATGGAAGCAAGCTGGGTAGACAGAGGAGTGTTCCACTTGGGCTTCAGATGCCAACGCAAATGTGCATGGTTCAAATCTACCAGCTGCTCCGTGGAATGAAGATAGGCAGTCAACTCATATAATTTCTGCCTCTGAAAACCCCCCTGGAGTGTCAGCTGTGAGTTGGTTCCGACTCTATGGTACATACCAACAACCTCAAAATTATTTATTTTATTGAGACCTAATTCCCACCAGTGTTACCTTTTTATAGTCCTTTTAAAAAAAACTAGTTTTTGAGCCTATTGTTTGACAGTTCTCCTGTGACCAGGCTTTGAAGTACACAGTATATACGCTGACATTTATAAAGCGAGCTGTTTTTTTCTCATCCTTATAAATTGCTTACAGGATCGCTTAGTGTTACTCTTTCTATATAACTTTGATTTCCACTTATTAACATTGTTTTCATATTTAAACTTTCCACAGCTACTGTTTAGAACAAACACTGCAGTTTTTAAACTGTGTTTTGGATGAAGAACCAGTGAAAACAGTCGTAGCACAAGATTTTGTTCTCCCGAATGAGAATGCGAGTTCTCATACTGCGCAGAAATCAAAAGAGAAAAAGGTATGGATGTTTATTTTTTACTTATAAATTGTATGTAAAAACTAAATGGGATCACTGAGATCATTTAATGACTATCATTATTTTGATAGATTTAATGACTAGAAGCATATTTAGATTATATATTTACTCAGAATTAATTTGTAGTTGATTATGGTTTTCCTTAATGTGTATTAGTATTTGAATTTCCGTATTTAACTGAGTAGACACTACATACTAAAGTATTAGGAATTTTTAAAATTATTATTAATTTTAATGAAAATTTACAGAGACTTTGGATTTCCATTCATTCATTGTTGCACTTTTCTCCTTGGCCCCCCACCCCCATACACTCTTCTCTTTGAAAAGTAAAGGAAACATTCTTTCATTGTTTTATAATCTCTCCCTCCAGGTTCATTCCACTATGCATCCTTCACTCTGGACTCCTGTCATGACAATAATACCTAATCACATATCCCTTTTAAACAGTTTTCTCCCTCATCTGTTTCAATGCAGTATACATTATTTATCCCATCTTTCTCGGTCTCCCCCCAACCCCGATGTCAGTCCTGTTTTACAACAGTGGCACTATGCAGTATTTATCCTTTTGTGACTGAGATACTTCACTCAGCATAATGTCTTCCAGGGTCACCCATTTTGAATAATATTGCATGAGTTCCTTGTTTTTCAATGTTGCATAGTATTCCATTGTGTGAATATACCAGAGCTGTCCTATCCATTCGTTGATGGGCACTTAGATTGTTTCCAACTCCTTGCTATTGTGAACAAAGCTGCAATAGACATGAGTGTGCATATATCTGCTTGGATGTCAGTTTTGGTCTCTTTGGGGTATATTCCCACTAGTGGAATTGCTGAGTCAAACGGTATCTCTATTTGCAACTTTTTTTTTTTTATTTGCAACTTTTTGAGAAAGCGCCATACCACCTTCCACAGTGATTGCACCATTTTACACTTCCATTAGGAGGGGAGAGCCCTGAAGGAGATGGATTGACATAGTGACTTGCAGTGGGCTCAAGTCTATCCGAGATGATGAGAATGGAACCCGATAGGGCAAGATTCTGATTCGTTATTCAGAGGCTCACATGAGTCCTAGTTATCTTGATGGCATTTAACAGCAACAACATAATATACAGGGAGAAAGATGGGCAGTCTCCTCTCATGTGGTTTACAGCCTCTAAAAATTCACTGGTGCATCAGGTATTAATAAATTCCTTCTTGATGGCCCAGAACAAAGCAGTATAGATAATGTGGACAGAAACTGTTTTGGCAAGTTTAATTTTTTATAGATTTTTTTTAGAGCAGTTTATCTTAAAATGTTAATAGAGTTACTTACAAATGTAAAATTGGAGTGTAGCCCTGAAAAGTTCAGTTCTTGTAGTCAAATATATTTAAGTTGTTAAAGAATTTCCTGAATAACTTGGTTTGATTTTTTTTCCTAGTTTTGTACGCTTGAATGTTTTCACTTTTATTTTAAAAAGCTTGTCTCTGATGAAGCGAACTGTGTGTTCTCCTTTCTTTCTGCTTTCCTTGTTATGTAATACCTTTTAGGCACGGAGATCCAGAGAGGTGGACGAGACCACGTGTGACACGGCCCGGGATGTTGATTACCCAGCGTACGATGACCACCGGGCAGAGGCTTTCTTGCACCAGCAGAAGAGGATGCAGTGCTACTCCAAGGCAAAGGAAGCTTATCAAATGGGTAGAAAAAGTGTCGCCGCCTTTTATGCCGAGCAGGTAAAGTGAAAGCTAATGATCCTATTTCTGTTTGTTACATGAGTCCTAGTCATTTTGGAGCAAATACCATCTACATCTGGGACTAAATGAAATAATTTTATGGAATAGAGAGATCTTATTAGTGACATAAATAATACATTTATTGGTCCTGTGATAATGGCATTGCATTGCCAACCTGAAGGTAAGCAGTTCAAATCCACCAGGTGCTCTAAGGGAGAAAGAAGAACAGTCTCATCCTGTGCAGATTACAACCTCTGAAAATCTGGTAGAGGGTCAGTTATGAGCCCTTTCTGACTTGACAGTGCATAACAACAATATTTAAGAAATGTATATTTCTGAAAATGTCATCTCCTTTGAAATGCTTAGTTTCTGTAGATGTGTTTACAATTCTTGGCTTTGTAAATGACAGTTGTTATTTTCCTTTAGTCTAGAGTCTATCATTTAGTACAAAGTCATTCTATGAAACAGTATCTTGTAAGAGTTAGATGTTGTACAAAACCTATTGTATTCATATACATGTGGTCCGATGGTGCCCCAATGGCATTATGTAGCCCAGGACTGTATTTCTAAACAGATACAGGTTTTGTAGAAAGAAGATATCAGGATATTAGTATTGACTGTCTCAAGCTATGTTTCTAGGGATTTGAAGTTTTTGCCATATTTGATTTTCAGTCATGCATGCCTTTTATAATCAGAGAAAATGATATCAATAAAAATTTTCAGGGAAATAACATTTTTTACCCTGTACTCTTTAAATTATTTTTTAATGTTATTATTATTATTATTTTTGCGTGTGTGTATCATCTAATTGGATCCAACTAGTACATGAGGATTTTGCCCCTCTTTCTCCAGTGGAGCATCTGGTGGATTTGAACTGAGCACCTTCAGGATTGCAGCACAGTGTCTTGCCTCTTGGCCACCAGAGCTTCCTTATCCTGTACTCTGTACTTTTGCTTGACTTGCTTTTTATTTTTGCACTTGATGTGGTTTACTCTTTTGTGATTATACACAGGTGTCATACTCTGTATAGCATGGGAGACCTAACAACAAATCTGGTCTCAGGAGGGTTGGGGTGGGGATAGCTTCAGGAATATACCACAAGATGCAGAAAGGGAGGCCAAGATTAGATCTGGAGTGATGAAAAGATAATAAATCACTGGATTCTTTCAGATGGGTCATGAACCTTTTTTTATGGTTCAGAAAATCATGTAAGAGTTACACTATATTTTTTTCCTTTCCACATCTGATGGGTAATGTGCCCGTGTTGTAACAAGGTTTAAGACTGGCATTTGTCAAAAGCATGAACACCCAATCATCATGCTCATTAACTGGAAAAGGATCATAGTTACACTATTAATTCATTGGCATTCTCTTCAATTTTGGTACATTGGAATACTTTGTCTCATTGTGTTATTTAAAATTTTCATTTGTTGTTTTGGTCTGCTTTTAGTTTCCTAGTAAATTAAAACTGTTGGAAGTGTTTGCTAGTGACTTGTTGATAATTACAGGGGCGTCTCCACGAGCAGAAGATGAAAGAAGCCAATCACCTTGCTGCGGTGGAGATCTTTGAGAAGGTCAACTCCTCCCTGCTGCCACAGAACGTGCTGGACCTCCACGGACTGCATGTGGACGAAGCAATAGCCCAGCTGACGGCAGTCTTACAGAGGAAGAGCAAAGGTAGGGCTGGACTAAGAACAGACTTCCAAGAGAAAAGTGAGTCTTTGTTGATGGTAGTAGAACTTGGAAATTCTGAGGGCCTGGCCTGAATGTGCAGGTTGGGGAGTTCTATGCCTTATTTGTTGCCATTAGTAATAGCGCCCTATTCTTTAAGAGAACTTTCCTGAGAAAGAATTCTTTTTTCCCTGTGGGTATACAATGACTATCGTCATTTTCATGTCTTCGTTTTCGTTCTTTGTATTCTCTTGTAGTGTTTATTAAAAAGAAGGTACCAAAAAAAAAAAAAGAAGGTACCAATGTAATGTGAGAATCCCTGGTGACCTATAATGGAACCTAATTCTATGTCCTTTCACCACTATTACAGTGTGTTTGAATCTTAATTTTACCTTTCTCTTTCATTTTATTGTAGACATGCTAGAGCCTTCTACCTCAGCTATTGCTCTTTGCATTCCTAGCCCTCCTTTTCCATTCTCTTTGCATTATTCTGGTTAATTGATTTGTTTATGTATAACATTCTTATAAAAGTTTTACTATACTCTGATGTTTTAGTGGTAAGCAGTTGCCCTGCCTACCCAGAGGTACATGGTTTGAATCCACCAACTGCTCTGAGGGAGAAGGATGAGCCATCCCCTCCCATGTGATTTACTGCTTCTGGAAAAGAATATACTGAGTCACTGTATGGAAAGGAATTGGCAGATACAGAGGAATTTAATGAAATAACATTTGAGCAAGAGCCTATGGTGATGAAGGAAGAAGTTCAAGCTGCTTTGAGGGAAATAGCAAAAAATAAGGCCCCGGAATAGATGGTATACCAATTGACGAATTTCAGCTAACAGATGCTGCCCTGGATGTGCTCACCAAGTTGTGCCAAGAAATCTGGAGAACAACCACTCGGTCAACTGACTGGAAGAGATCTAGATTTGTTCCCATTCCAAAGAAGGGTGACCCAACAGAGTGTGGAACCTACAGAACAATATCATTGATTTCACATGCAAGCAAGATTCTACTGAAGATTATCCAAAAATGACTGGAACAGCACATCAACAGAGAACTACCAGAAGTCCAGGCTGGGTTTAGAAGGGGTCGTGGTACTAGGGATATTGTTGCTGATGTTAGATGGATCTTAGATGAAAGCAGGGAATACCAGAGGAATGTCTATCTTTGTTTCATTGATTATGCAAAGGCGTTTGACTGTGTGGATCATAACAAACTGTGGCTGACTCTGAGAAGAATGGGAATTCCAGAACACTTGATTGTGCTAATGAGAAACCTATACTTGGACCATGAGGCAGTCGTCAGAACAGAACAGGGTAATGCTGCATGGTTCAAAATTGGGAAGGGTGTATGCCAGGGATGCATCCTATCTCCATACCTTTTCAACATGTATGCAGAGCAGATTATCCGAGAGGCTGGGCTCTATGAGGATAAGTGTGGCATCAGGATTGGTGGAAGATTTATCAACTATCTCCATTATGCAGATGACACAACTCTGCTTGCTGAAACTGAGGACGACCTCATGCACTTGCTGCAGAAGGTCAAGGACTGCAGCCTTCAGTATGGACTGAGGCTCAATGTCAAGAAGACAAAGATTCTCACCCTGGACCAATTGGCAGCATCAGGATGGATGGCAAAGAGATTGAGATTGTTCACAGCTTCACTTTGCTTGGCTCCACGGTCAACAGTCTTGGCATCAGCAGCCAGGAAATAAAAAAAACGTTGTGATGGGAAAGTCTGCTGTTAAGGACCTCTCTAAAGTACTCAAGAGCAACGGTGTGTCTCTGGAGGCTAAGGTGTGTCTGATACAGGCCATGGTCTTTGCAATCACTTGTTCTGTACTAGAGAGTTGGACATTGATTAGGGACGATAGAAGGAGAATTGATGCTTTTGAGGTGTGATGCTGGAGAAGAGTATTGAGGATACCATGGACTGCTAGGAAAACAAACAGATTCATCCTGGAGAAGATTAAATAAACCAGGCTACTTCTTGGAGTCAAGGATTGTACGGCTTCTTCTGACATACTTGGACATGTTGTAAGGAGGGACCAGTCCTTGGAGAGGGACATCATGCTTGGGAGGGTGGAGGAACAGCATAGGAGGGGAAGACCCTTTATGAAATAGTTTGATTCAGTGACTGGGGTAATTGGGGTGGGTGTGTCAGAGACGGTGCAATTGGCACAGGACTGAGCAGGGTTTAGGGCTGTTGTACATAGGGTCGCTATGAGTCACAAGCAACTCGATGGCACATAACAACAACTTACAAAGTTTGTATACGTTGCTTTTCACACCAGATCTTTCCCATTTCCTTTTCCCACCCTTCCCTCTACTCATCAAATTGTGCATCCCTGTGATTACCCCTCCCCACCATCATCACTCTGCTCTTACCCTACCTCCCTTGGATCCTCCTATACCTTCTACAAAAAATGGTCATATTCAGTATTTTTCCTTATGCGACTAAGTTAGTTTTCTTAGAATAATGCTCTCCAGGCCCTCCCAAATTAGGTAGTGATTTATAAAATCATTGCTCCTGCATGCTGCATGATATATTCCATGGTGTAAATGTATCTTAATTTCTCCATCCATTCAATTGTGGTTGGACATTTGAGCTGTTTCTGTTTTCTTGCAATGGTGAATAACGCTGCTGTGAACATTGGTGTACAAGGCTAATATTACTCTTAACATTGTCATTGTCTCAATAAAAAATAGAGGCATTCAGAAATCTGCCTGTCCACAGGGATGAAGTCCCGCTTCAGTCTTCAGGTGGATGAGGTGCTGTGTAGCTTTCATCCCTAACGGTACATTTAGAGCTTGCATTTTAAGCAACATTACTCTTGGGATTTCATAAAATCTCTTTTAAGTCCTGATGAAAGCAATTTTGTATGTGTTTGAATTAGTATGTTTCTTATTGAGAACATAAGAGAAATTAACTGTTGTAATTCGTGTCGTAACAGAATTCAGACAGAGCAACAACGGCAAGCCCTATCTGTCCGTGATTACCGGCAGAGGAAACCACAGCCTGGGAGGAGTCGCTCGCATCAAGCCAGCTGTCGCTAACTACCTCACCAGCCATGGCTTCAGGTGAGTTCAGATTTCTGTTAGAGATAATTGACAAGTGGCCCATCCAGAGTCCGCCAAACACTAATAGTTTGCTGGCAACCATCTGTTGAAATAGTTAAGTAAGTGATGCCTCCACAAAGTCATACACAAATTATGGTATAACATTGTCTGCTGGATTTGTTTTGTCTGGTAAATAAATATAAGACTAATGGGTTTGTTGTTGAAGTAATCTTCTGATGAAATGACATCTGTCATAAATGGAAAATTCTGAAAGAAGATATTTTCATGTTTTATAAGAGATTTCTCCTTGGTACTAACCTAGTATTATAAAATATTGCAATGTAAACATCATCATTATGAAGGTCAAATTCAGTCTTAGGAGGTTTTGAAACATCTTAATTCTCATTAGCTACTAAATGAAGAGTAACCTCAAGCTTTAAGATTATGTTTGTTTTGATAGTAGATTAAAAGAAACATAAACAGAAATAAAAGTCTTGGATACACTTAATAATGGATAATAGTTTGATAATAAGTTGTAAGTACTGTATTAAGCATAGGCATTTGGAATTGATCATAGTAATATTTACCTTAGATGAAATTTTTATCTTTATTATTTTTTCTTTTAAATAATAAAAAAATAACTTTTTAATCTTTTTTTTTGTTTTTTTTTCAGGTTCTCTGAGATTAAACCAGGGTTTTTGAAAGTCATGCTGAAGTAAAATAAGTAACCTTGAGTTGTTGGTTAAAATTGATTTTAATTGTGTTACTTCAGGCATTCCTGTATAAATAAATGCTATAATAAAAGTTGTAGTTGTGAGATATAAATGCTATTTTTTTAAAAAAATCAAGAGCAATTAAATTTTTTTAAATTGAGCCATATGCCAAATATGTTGCTTGTTAAAAATACTAAGGAAAATGTGTGTTTATTAACAAATGTTATAATTATAGTTACCAGTTGACTGTGTTATGTCTTCTGAATTTTTCAGAGGAAAAAATGTTACCTTTGTATTATTACTTGTTACTTGACATTTAGTAAGGTCCCAAAGAGTTCTCTGAAAATATTTAAAATGTATTGAGGCAGAGTTCATGCCCTTCTGAAAAAGAGAGAGGATCCAACAGCTACTTCGCAACATTTGAATACTTTCTTATTTCAAAACAACATGTCATTTCAAAAAATCAGTTCATTTTGCCATATGTTGCAGTAAGGTAGAAATGCTGTTATACATTCTTTTCCTTTTCTAAGATCTTAATCTTGTCCAACCTTTTGTGCCATTCCTCTGTATACAGTGTGTTTTCTGGGCAAAAAGTTAGGTCTGAGATTATGTTGCAGTGTTACATGTCCATAGGCAGGAAAGTTTTTAGAGGAAAGGATTGCAGTAGCTATTTTATCTGTATCAATTATTTCTGTCTCTCTTCTCTCTCCATCCACCTACCTATCAAATGCTGCTGCTTATAGAATTGCTTCTGAGACTGTTTATGTATGTGGTATGTCAAGATAGTACTAAATAGCTTTACTTTTTTTATACTTTGAAACATGCAATTTCTAAGCTGTTGTGAGTAAAAAATGTGCTATTAACTTGATAATTTTTTTGTATGAGTATAAAAGAAATCATAATCTTTTAAAGTTTTTGCTTTTTAAAACTTTTCTAAAGAGTCACCTTTCTGAGGAGATTAATCAGAACTGGCTTTGACAAGCACTGTGGCAACTGGAAAATTAAAACAGACATTCGGGGGGGGGGAAAGAAGAACAAACTGGGGAGAGGGTAGAGAAAACAGTGCAACAGTGAATGAATGAGAATCCAAAATCTCTGTAAATGTTCATTAAAACTAATAAAATTTAATAATAATTTAAAAGTAAAAAAAAAGAGTCACCTTTCTGAAAGGAAATGTTCATTGACTTCTTTGATGAGTTAGTAATTCTTAATAGTAATTAAAATCCTAATTCCCTGTGCATGAGTTTAATGTGTTAAAGTGTAATTTTCCAGTATAAGACTGTGGTTCAAATAACTTGAATTTGACCTCAGAGATGGAAATTGTCAGAACTAATTTTATGAAATAATAGTTTTTTTAAACTTAAAAATATCATTTTGATTAAGCATTTAAAAGTTGAGCTTTTACCAAAAGAATCATATCTCTAAAGAGCAAACATTTTAAGGAAAAGAAAATTCCAAAATACATGTTTTTATATATCATAAATACATGCTTTTAAAAGAAGAAGCTTATTGAACTATTTTGATAACAGAGTACATGTTTATTGTTCAGAAATGGTGTCAGTGCATAGTAATCACACTCCAATAATTTGCTTAAAAAATTTTCAACCATTTGATGTATGTCCTTTTGTAAAGTGTAAAATAGTTGTATCTATTAAAAATAAAGCCTTATCCTCCACGATATGAAATTATACTTGGTGACTGATTTCTGTCCGAATTGAATTGATGTAAGAGATGTAAATAACAGTAATAAGACCTGGTTATTAGAGGATCTATAATTGCAAACCTATTTCTGTGTTTTTATACTTTATCACCTGTTTTTTAAAAAATCACTATTGTAAATCCCTTTTGTTCAAACAGTTACAGGTTATTTTGAAATGGCTATACTGTTGGGTATCAGAAACATATCAAAGGCCCACCATGAACAATGGGATTTAGAATATGGTAATTTTAATATTATTCTGACACCCCCCCCACCTGTTCATTTCAGCACTGTTACGGTATTGATGAAAGAAAGAAAAGAAAGTGAAGAACTATAGGTGAGATATTTTGTACATAGAAGCTGAATGAAAGAAGTCACATCACTTTCATTTTATGCCTTATTTTGGAAAAAATAATTGTACCTTAGAGTCAGGAATGACTCATAACTGACCCTCCGGTAGGTTTTTAGAGACAATTAATCACACCGGAGGAGATTGCCCATCTTCTCTCATGGAGCAGCTAGTGGCCTTGACCCACGTCATGTGACTTTGGGATTGCAATGCAGCTTCTTTCCACTAGGCCATTAACACATATGTAGCCACATGTTGAGCATCATAGGTGTTTCTGTCAGTGTTTAAATCCTGCTGCACTGATGGAAGAAAAACATGAAAGAATTTTATAATCCTTCCTTTCTTTGCTCACTCATTGCTAAATCCTGCAGGCTTTAGGTAGTTTGGCGATCTAAAAGTTTCCCTGTATTGGTATATTTGTGGCAACACGTGCTTTTAAGAATGGAGTTGGAAACAACCCAAATGCCCATCAACAAACGAATGGGTAGAGAAGCTGTGGTATATTCGCACAATGGAATATTATGCTGCATTGAAAAACAAGGAACTCATGCAATATTATTAAAAATGCGTGACTCTGGAGGACATTATGCTGAGTGAGGTATCTCAGTCACAAAGG